GGTAAAACTTCTACCAAGATTAAGCAGCAGAACAATTCCAGCAATTTACAAGCATTCTTTTTGTTTTCTTTCAGTCATTTTCCTTAACAAGAGTAGCTACTCTCTTGATTTTTACCTCTGCAGGTTAGTTGAACTATGTTTCAATTTATACATGATAAAGTATGGAACTGGCTTCACGATGGAACTGCCTTCAACTTCGGGTCTGCAAAGGTTATTCTTACTGTTCTATGTAACAACACACTGTTCCTTCCATTGCTTTAAGTATCCCATTTTATGGCTATAAATATATGAAAACTGTAAGTTGTTCACATTATATCCAGTTGTTTTGACTTTAAAACTAGGCATATACCTTTTAGTCTAATCCTTTCTGATACATACTTTTCATATATTTCCTTTCATTTGAATATTTTCTCTAAATTTCCAGCCAGGATTCTCAACTTTTGGACTTGTACAGATTCGAATAAAAGGCAACTGAATCGAGTCATGTTAAAATTAAGGTGGAGCGCCCTGAAATTAGAAAAGGCAAGGAAACTAAAAATGCAGTAGCAAAGTTCATTTACGCATTAGAACAATCAGGAGAATAAGAAAGAGTTTTGTAAGCATCTGGGAAGGTAAAAATACCTACAAAATAAGCACTTTCACGTTGGACTACAACTTTATTTTTAATACAAAAATCCAAAAGACAATAGAACAATGTCTACAAAGTTATAAGAGAAATTGTCGTGAAAGCATTCGATGCCCAGGCCTTAGTGATTTATGTTCAAAAGCAACAGAAAGACTTCCTCAGATTTACAAGGGCTTAGAAAATATATCATTCTGAATGCAATTAAAACAATCCCTCAAGAAAGGCTCTGGGTTGCTGGGTGATTAATCGAAATACATAATTCAAGTTTTGTAAACATGAGTGTACTAATTATCCTCATTTGATCACCACATATTGTACACATGTACTGATATTCAATTCTGTACCTCATGAATATCACAATCAATTATGTTTCAACAAAAAAACTGTCAAAAAAAAAGAATTGGGGAAGTTGTAAAATAATACGCTTTGAAAAATCAAATAGTAAAATACATATCTAACTTTAATTGGGTAATGCAAATATTGTTACAAGCGTAAGAGAATTGTCAAGAATAATTCTTGAAAAGATACATAATATAAAATGCAAAATTAAAATAATTATGCATATTTAAAAACCACAATTTATATAGTTGGGAAACTGACAGGGAAGATGGGTGAAATGAAAGTATTCTAATTTCCTCAATCTATGTAAGGAAGGATCCAAGAGATATTTTATTTAGATGTGGCTAATTAGAGAAATATCTATCCAAACATATTTCTGAATAATAATCATCAAAAGAATAAAAGCTAACCTTTCCATTCCAAATGATCAAAAGCGTTTTTAAAAGTAAATATAATACAGAGAACAAAAGGCTGAAAGCAAAGGAAAATGAGATCAAGCATATAAAATAAAATAGCTTAAAATAAGCTGAAAAAAGTAAACATTTCATTTATGAAAATAAGTTTAAATGGAATTTATGTTCTATTAGAGACAAAGTCCCACATTCACAGAAGAAAATCCAACCAGGTGTAAAGCAAGTGTTTAGCATTGCATTTTATGATCTCACCAATTTAATAAGAAAAAAAAAATGCAGAAGATTTCATTAACCAAAAACACAAGAGCATCCACTGAAAACGTCAGGACCAATAAGATACTCATGATCACAGTTAGTTTCAAATAAAATATAGCAGAGAGTTTCTTAATGAATCTTCACTTAACTGATATGGCAGATTAGCCAACCCTCCTCATTCCCTCTGTGCAACATAGTACATGATGCACATGACACACTGAGCACCAGATACCATGGCCTATTCTCCAGTAAGCCCGAGCACGTCTACACTCACAAGTTGATTTGTATGCCCACAAGTCAGTTGAATTTTCCCCAAACCTCCTTATATCAGGTGTACTCATTTTTGCAATTATGTAATTTTATTCAACATTACAAAATCTAATAAAGTGTTATAAATATAAAGGTATTTAATAAAAATTGATAGTTGAATGCTTGAGAAATATTTGATAATTATAAGTTTGTTAAAAAATGCTGTGAAATAAGGTGAGCCGGATCACTATAAAAGACTAGGAGAAAAAATAATAAAATTTTGAATAATTTTATATTCATATTTGACTACAGTCTAATTTTTCACTCCATGTTAAAAATCTAGAACTGAAGGAATACATGATGTATGTGAAAAAGGCTTTGACTTTAGGTAACAAACTTAAAGAAAAGCCCTTCACTTTTCATCAAAAGGTTGTTGAATAAAGGTCCATTTGTATAATTTGAGTTAAAGTAAAATGATTAACGTAAATATTTAGTTTATGCTTTGGATCATAGAGTTTTCTTTCTTTCTTCTTTTTAAATAAATGATACCGGTTAGAAAATGTCCTTCTCTCCAAAACAGCCAAAATGTATGAATAAATGATTAATACATGACGCACCGATGAATAAACTTAATAAATAACAAGTAGGGATATTTTAAAAAATCACTAAACTTTGCGCATGTGTGTGTGGGTGGAAAAACTCAATATTTTGATGTTGACTCCAAAATAATGTAGAAATTCTATAGCATTCCTATCAAAATTCCTAGAAGGACAGTGAAAAGACAAAATAATTTTTTTTAAAGAGTGCCATAATGGAGTGCCAATAATGTATCATAAGACATTAAAACAGATCAAAATAATTATATAAGTTAGAAGATATATTGTATTATAAACCAAAATGGTATTTGTAGGGCACTAGAGATCCAGCACGATAGAACAGAGAGAATCATTAACAATAGCTAATTGCTCCATTGCACTTATTGTGTCAGACATTCTATGAGCTTCACATTTATTAACTCATTTTATAACAGCCCTCTACAGAGGGGCTCTTAAACCTGTCTTATAGATAAGGAAATTGAGACACAGAAAGGTTAAGTAACTTGCCCAAGATCACACAGCTAGAAAGTTTTAATTGCAGGCAGGCTGGCTCCAGAGTCCCTTGTTTTGATCACTTTTCTGTATTTTCTATATCTACTATGTGCATCAATTTCATTATCTATAAAATGGGACTGAAAATACATGCACTGTCTAAGTGCATTTTCTGCTGCTATAACAGTCTACAGTCTGGGTAATTATAAAGAAAAGAAGTTTATTTGGTTCATGGTTTTGGAGGTTGGGAAATCCAAGGGAATGGTGCTGGCTTTTGGTAAGAGTCATTCCCTAGCAGAAAGGTGGAAGGTGAAAGCAAGTGAGTGCATGAGACAGAGAAAGCAGTGGGAGGAACTCATCTTTTTTATCAGAGGCCCACTCCCACGTAAGGGCATTGATATATTTATGAGGGAAAAGCCCTAATGACCTAATCGCTGCTTAAATGTCCCACTTCCCAATATTGTTGCATTGGGGATTAAGTTCCCAGCATGTTGACTTGGGTAGGAAAACTCAAACCATAGCACGTATTTACCTTCTCAGGTCGTTGTCAGACTTAAATGAGTTATTCCATGAAAGTACTCAGAAAGTCCTGGCACAGAGCACACATTCAATGTATATTAACTATTGTC